TACATTGGCTTTCCAGATTTGCCAAAGTTAATAATGACCCTCAAAGATACCTAGGTCTCATCTCTCAAACCCGTGCAGGTCATTATGCTTGACAAAAGAAACTGTGCATGTGTGATGAAGTCAGGGATCTTAACATGGGAAAATTATCCTGGATTAACCAGTAGGCTCCACATGTACTTACAAGAGTCCTTGCAAGACAATCAGTGGGAAAAAGAAGTGTGTGAAAACAGAAGCAGTGATTAGAGTGACATGACTATGACCCCAGAATTCTGCAGCCTCCAGGACGGGAAAACAATGAGGAAATATTCTCTCCCAGCAACTCTAGAAGAAACCAGTCTTGACAGTGATGCCTTGACTTTAGCCTAGTGAAACTGATTGTAGATTCCTGGCCTCCAAAACTAGAAGAAAGTAAAGTTTTACATTGTCACTCAATCTGAGATAAATCTATCATAGCAGCAATAGGAAACCAATACGTAGATCCACCCCCCCCACACACACACACACTTCTTTACCCCACCCCATGCTCTGGAAAGCCAGCTATAGTACCTCAGTGCTGACCTACAGCTGCACCTCTCTGTAGGTTTCTGGGAACCACTACTTCCCCTTGCATTCTCAGTCCTCAGGTATCCAAGCTTACTGTAGGGAAGCTTTATTTTTCTTACTGCTTCCCACATTTTCATAAATACAGGTACTTTGGGAATTCTATTCATCCAGTTTTGAATTCAGCATGTAAGAAACCATCCCAGCCACCAGTTAACAGCTCAACAGAGAGATCAACAGTTCTGAGAGCCATCAGAAAAAGAAGGTTGCAGGGAAAACTGCTGCTTGCAGATTTGATGTGATAGGCAGGCAGATACAAAGAATAATGACTTACTGGAGCAGAAATCCACGAGCAGAAGCCTCTTCAATTCCATTACTGGGATCGGAAAGCCTGAACTATAATTGATGAATTGCTGGATTCTCGGTGTGGGTAAGTCTGAGAATCAAAATCAACTGAAGGCCCCATTCATAGGCAGCCTCTCACACTTCTGTAAGTTTTACTTCTGGAAGATCAATAAGGTTCTCACAGTGAGTATCAGAGAAAATCCCCTCATTTTGACATCATGGTGTAGGAGAAAAGGAACCATTTTCTTCTTAATAAGACCTGTTCTCAAGAAAACCTACTTAACCAAAGCTTAGACTTTGGGGCTTTTTTCAGAGTTTAAAGAACCTGGAGAAAGGAAAATAGCCCAACTCTACCTTCCTTCAGCCATCCTGTCCCCTGAAGGGGTGGCATGGGAATTAAGGAGGAAAGGACTTAGGATACATTCAAGTTCACAGTGTAGAGACATGGCTCATAAAAAGGCTAATATCTAATAATGGGACTAGAATGCTTCTCTCATCCCCATGCCCACCACATTAGTAATGGCCAACTTATTGATTTTATTTTTATCTGGTGTGTAAACAATAACACCAACAAAAGCCCATCATAACACAATTTGATAAAATAAATATCAGAGTCAGACTCAGGGCCAGGCATTTATAGAATTGAATGTAAATATTAAAAGATTTAAAAGCAGTAATCTAAATTCCCACTTAGGAAACTCGAAAAATAAAAGCAAATACAACATATGCAGAAAAAATAATGAAAATTACTGTGAAAATCATCGAAGTTGAAAACAAGAAATAAAAGGAGAAAATAAAATCAAAAGCTAGCAATTAGAAATGATCAATAAAATTAGCCTGACTCTAGACAGACTAAGAAACAGAGACAGGACAAAATTACTGGTGTCAGAAATGAAAGAAGAGTCATCACCACAGATGCCCTTGATAATAAAGGACACTAGAAGAATACTGTGAAGAATTTAATGCCCACAAATGTGGTAGCGTAGATGGAAAGGAAAGTTCCTCAAAAGACACATTCTGCCAATTCTAGTAATTGGCCAATTCTAGTAATGCCAATTCTGCATTCTAGTAAAGGATTCAAATATTGCTCATTTTCTGCATAAATCAGCACATAATTATACATAGTATATATAATTATACATTATAAATTACTGTGGAGGAATATAATTAATAAAAATAGGAGTAAGACACTTTCTAGCATTATACTAAAGTCTTTCATTGGGTATGTGACTGGCAAATTTTTTGCCATCTTTGCCTTTACTTTTTATTTTAACTGTATCTTTCACAAGTAAAAGGCTAAATTACCTTAGTGAAGTCTAGCTTATCAGTGTTTTCTTTCATGAATGGATAATGATGTTGGTGTTGCACCTAAAAACTCATTGCCAAACACAAGGACATGTTTACTCCTTTGTCATCTTGTATGAGTTTTATAGTTTTACATTTAGGTATGTGATCCATTTTGGGTTAGTGGTTGTGAAAGACGTGAAGTCAGTGTCTCATAAAGAGAAAACTAGTAAACAAACAAATGAAATTACCTGACCAAGATAATTATGCTAATGGATGCGTAATGCTGAGAGGTTTAAACAGGGTAGTATTTGAGGTAGACTATGAAAAGTTTCATCAAGTGGATGGAACTGAAGAGGAAATAAAGGCAAAGGGGCAAGTAAATATACAGAAGGAACACGGACAGGTTCAATTAAAGTATAAAAATGTCCGATGGCAAATACACTAGAAATGCAGATTAGACACAATGCTATAGAAGGCTCTGAGGGACAGAACAGAGAGTTTTGTTTGTCTCAACACTCAACACATGTTTATCTAGTACCTACTACAGGCCAAGCCAGGCATTGTGAGTGCTGAGGACACAGCAGTGGATGATACTGGTGCCTCTAACACAGTTTAGAATCTAACGAGAGGACGAGAGGCAACAATGTCTGAGAGAAGGAAGAAGAGAGGGAGACAGAATAAATAAAAATACAACAGGAAAAGAGCAGAGTGGGAAGTTCTGAATAAAAGTTGCTAATTAATTGACATGGGTTGCCCTAGAAAATGATTGTGATCAGTATATTAAAAGACTCCTGGAGGAGGTTTGAGGGGACTTTACAGATGGCCGGAGTGGAGGGGTACATTCTAGTCAGAGGGAATAGCAGGTCCAAGCCTGCGATTAGAAGTGTGCTAAAACATAAGTTAAAACCAGGAAACCAACGTGGATGGGAAGAATGGAATATGAGGGATATTTGGAAGAGACAATGTTAGAGAAATAATGGGGGAGATAGTAGCAAAAGCAGGAGCACAAACCATAGAGAGCCCTCCATGTAGGCAATGCTGAGGCTTTGGGTGCTGCTTTGAGTAATAGTGGGAAGACAGGAATTGTGAGCAGAGGAGTGACGAGAGGGGACTTGCTTTCAAAGGGTTCCTCTGGCTCCAGAGATAAGGGGCTGTGGGAAGCAGGGGGCCCCATAAGAGGCTGAAGTGACAGAATGAAATATGTTGGAGGTAATAGTGCTAAGAAATGTCTAGTTCTGGATATGACACGATGACTGAGCTGATGGGATCCGTATCTACATTGCATGAAGGGTGTGAGGAAAAAAGAGCCAGGGATGCCGCTAAGACATTTGTACTGAATGGTCAGAAGAATTTAGTTCGTGGATCCCCATTGCTGAGGTAGGGATCATGGTGGATGGCAGGTGTAGGGCCCAGGAGTTCATCAGTGTGGTGTGGCATGTGCTAAGTCGGCCTGTTAATCTTTAAGTGAAGGGTGGAATAAGCAGTTAGATGCCTGCATCTAGAGTTGTCAGTCAGTGCTGCTCGAAGCTTTGGAAACAAGAACTGAATGTAGAAAAGGTAATAGTTCAAAGAAGTAAAGTTTGAGCAACCCCTAAACGTGACAGATGAGAAAGAATCAGAAAAAAAGTATATACTAAGATGGAGATGCCCATGAAGCAAGAAGAGAATCAAGAGAAGTGTGTAAGGAATCAAGATAAATGTGTTTAACAAGGTACTACCTGAATGCTGCTGGGGAGTTAAGCAAAAGGAGGACTTAGAATTGATCTAAAGCTTTAGCAACGTGAAGATCATTGGTGTCTTGAATATAAGATCTTTCCATGAAATGTGAAGACAGAAGCCCAAAGAAACTTAAGTATAAATGATGGTTTTGAAGAATTTTTCCTCCTATAAAACAGAGAAATGGAACAGTAAATGGAAGAAATCGGAAAGCAGTTCGTGTTTGTGATGTGTGTCATGTAACAACTAGAGTGAAAAATAATGCAGGAACAAGAGAAGGACCAGACAGAATTAACATCCATGTGAGAAGTCATGGAAGCTACCCAGGCAGCTGGCCTTAGTAGGAAAGGGGCCATTTATTATGGTAATAGACTGAATTGTCTTTCTTTTGTCTTTTTATATGCAGGGATTGAACCCTGGGCCTTGCACAACATACTAAACAAGCACGCCACCATTGAGCTTCTAGCCCTAGCCGTAACTGATTTAATTTTCTAAGCAAGTTTAAAAGTTTAAACAAACCATTGTGTTTATCTCACCAACTTCTCGAGCCTTCACATTATATAAACATCTTAATGTTATTTCTGAAATTCGTTGACATGTTCTGCTTTGGGGATAAAGGTTCTAGTACCTGAAATCCACTTTTACATACATTTAACATTTTGAAAATTTAATATTTGATTTATTTTGTCTGTTAAATTTTGCTATATGATAACTTTTAAAATATCATACTTTGCCATCAATGGCCTAACACTACCTGAGACAACACTAGAAATCTAATAAATTCAAATCCTTCAGACTCACCATTTTGTAACACTTTAAATCATACATAGAAATTTACAGGAAGCTTTGAATTTTTAACAAATTTAGGATATTTCTTGATAGAAATTATGGATCTTTTTGACTGTTCATGAAGTAAGTTTAATATGTTGTGTTTTCCAAAGAAAATAAAAAAACAAACAGTAAAGATAAAATATATTGGGATATTTTCTGGTAGCTTGTGATTGAATTTAGAAAACAGCATTGCACAGTTTTTCAGTCCATCTCACTTATAAAATTTACTTCTGCTGTGGTCAGTATGAAGCTCTTAACTGAGAAATGGTTTTTCCCCACAGGCATGAACGTATTCATACCAAGAAAAGTAATTTAAACAGATCTTTAATTTCCATTCAAAAGGATGTAGATGATTTAGCAACCCTAGACATTTTGGATGAGGTAAGAATTGAGTTTAAACTTCAACATTGTAGAGTTTCCAAATTTATAGAAATGATATGGATAAGGGATGTTTTAAATAACAGCTGTCTCATTTTTTCCTTCAACTTTCTGACTAGTTCTTCTGTCTTCAGTTTTAATAGCAAAACTCAAATTTCCAGATCTTTCTAGCTTAGTGCCATTTTTTAACACACAAATGACAAAGGTGTGAAATCTGCTAAGCACAGGTTGTTGAGTTACAGATCTTTTTTTCTCTTCAGTTTTTTCTGAAAGTCTCAAACATGCGACTTACAGCATTTAAAAGACAGTCTGCCTCCTGACCCACCACAGGCATCCTCCCCCTTTCCTCCTCCTTTCAGTGGCAGAACCCCAAATCTGCTGTAATATCCTGAGAACCTTTCTGTTCCTAGGCACAGCCCAGAGGGAACTAACTGCAGATGACATCCTCACATTTTTAGAGCACTGAATTCTGCTTGAAACTCTTTATTGCAATCATTTTAGAAATGTTTTAGGAATCTTCTTTGTGAAGGTGAAATTCCATATGTCCTTTTCCTTCTTCCTCACTTTATTCCACATAATCAGATCATTCAAGAAATAACTGAGCTTCTCCCCCCGCCCCCCAGACTCCCTAGTAAAGGCTAGGGCGTCTACCTAATTAAGGTTTTATTCCTCTAAGATTTTATTAACATGCCTACATTTTGCTGACAAATACAACAAACCAAGAGACATGTGCAGACCAGAAGTAATCTGCTGTAGGTTTGGAGGTGACCACAGCCGCAAGGGCTAAGTGCTCCTCACCAGATTTCAGTGCTAGGGAAGATGAGGCAGGGCCAGTGAGTGGACAAAGGTCCTTGGGGGCATGGCCATGGGGGGGGGGGTGGCCTCTCATGCCTGCCACCGCAAAAGCAGCACTCTAGGCCTTGTCCTCATGCTCCTACCACCAGGTACTGCTTCCCCATAGTCCCTAGGGCAGTGGGGTCCCCAAATAAGAACCGAAACCTCTAAACCTGTGAGCCAGGAGAAACCAGTTCTCTTCGTTACTTCTCAGATATTTGGTCCAGTAATGAAAAGCTAACATGTAATGATTTCAGTAATGTAGGATAAACAAACAACTCACTTTGTGTGTACTTTCTCAACATAATCTCTCAGGAACATCAGCAGTCTTAGCAAATAGTGCTTCTGGCACCTTTCTTAATCCTTATATATTGAAGTTCATGATGATGTGAATTCTTAGGTTTAAGAATTACAAAGATTTCGCTAACCATGTTGTTACCAATTATTTTCATATGTTAAATACTGAGTTAATTTATCTGTATTGTCTGTGTTTTATATTTTTGTTTCTTTTTTACTATGTCTCACTCCTGTCATGTCTGTTCCATAAATGATAATTTCTGACAGTATTTTAAGTTGACTCATGTGATTATCATTTATCAGCTATGAAAGTTACTCCTCTGAGTTTTTCCCTCTAAGGAGAGGACTCGGACATTCCACAAAACCATTAAATGACCTTGATTTGAATAGTCATTTTCACTGTATCTTTCTTACCCTTTTAGAATTCTTTTTCTTTATTTCATCTACTTAACTTACTTATTTCCTTAAATTCAGTATAATGTAGTACATGTAATAACATACAATATCAAACATACTTCCTTTGGAAAATGAAGCTAATACTGATATTCCTATTTGGTTCTAAAAACCAGAGCAAAATACTGGTTAGTAGAATGGGTACTTGCAGATCTGATATTACATTTTTACTGTTAATATGCTTGTTTTTAACCTATGGTCTAGATTTTAGATGTTATTAAACTATAGTTCCCCATAATGTTATTTAAGAAAGGGAAATTTTTATTGTACTACAGAATACAGTATTGGAGCAGCTTGAGAAGTGTTATTCCAAAGATCAAATCTATATCTATGTGGGAGACATACTCATTGCTCTAAACCCTTTTCAGAGTCTGGGGCTGTATTCCACAAAGGTATGTGATGTGGCTCGTATTCTCTGACTTTGTACAAATAATTACATTTTCAGATGATTGGTATAAATGGGTGTCAAGAAAAATTTTATCCAGCATATTCCAAAAAGCATTTATGTACTGTTTAAATATAAATAGAAAATATAGATTAAGTCCATCCAGATGCAGTTTCTGTTCTTCCTTTTTCCAATGTGTGTGTCAGAATGTTAATTATATATCCAGTTACTAAGAGCAACTTTACACTACATAGCATATCATTAAGATGCTGTACAATTAAGTACTTAACATCTACCTGTGAACCAAGTATCTGAGACTCAAAAATAGAACTACAATATATACATATATAATATATATATAAAATATGTACTTAGTAGTTGTAAAATCTGTGAATTTAAAAATTCATTGTAACATTGATTGGCTTTATTACCACTACAGTGTATGTTTTATGAATATGAATATATAATTACCAATTATTCAATCATAGTAGTTTAAATATAGAATTAAACTAGACTGTTTTTCATTTTTAAGTGGACCTATTCTTTTCTAGCTATTCATGTACTCTAGAAAATTAATTAATATTGTACCTTATAATTGTGAAAAATATGTATTTATTTCCCCATACTACCCTAAAATTTAGAGAATAATGATAAATTTATGTGCTTTGACATAGATTAAAGAAATTGGGCTTTTTTGTACATTTGGGCTTTAGTATACTAGATAGTATACTATCTGATCTTGTACTGCCCAAGTGAGACAATGTAGATTAAATGAAGTAAGAGGAAAAAAGTAGTGGTTGCACATTAGACATTATATCCAAAGAGTAGTCCACAGCATGATACTTGATTGCTATATTTGTAAAATGTTTTTATTTGATCAAGTAATAGAATTAATTTCTGCTTTGGAAGTAACATGCAAAATCTTGTAAACAACTTCCAAGAATGTTATATTCTTTTACCTTATACCATTTTCATTGACTGTTGTTGTTTTGTTTTGCTTTGTTTTGTTTTGTTTTGAAACAAGGTCTCACTTTGTAGTCCAGGCTGCCTTGGAACTCACTGTGTTGCCCAGGCTGGCCCTGAACTCACAGCGATTCCCCTGTCTGAGCCTCTTGAACGCTGGGATTATAGGCATGCCCCACCATGCCTGGCTTGCTGGACTATTTTATGTCAGGATTTTCTTTTACATAATTATAATTTTTGCATGTACATATGTATGCATGTATGGTGCATGTAATCATTTCTGTTGCTATGAAATAGTATTTTTATTTATAATTTGTTTTTAAAATTAAAACTACATCTGTAAATAATGGTTTAAATAAAAAGAGAAACAAAATTTTAACAAACATACATACATATTCTTTTCATCCTTTAGCATTCCAGACTATATATTGGAGCAAAGAGAACTGCCAACCCTCCTCACATTTTCGCAATGGCTGATTTAGGGTATCAGTCTATGGTCACATATAATTCGGATCAGGTAAGGCGAGTCCTGTCACACTCTCAGAAATCACCCTCTTAGTTTCGTGTGTGGCAGGTAAATTTTGTGAGATTGAAGTCCTCTCATAGCTCCCTTTTCTCCCTGTGCAGTGCATCGTTATTTCTGGAGAAAGTGGCGCTGGAAAGACTGAAAGTGCTCATCTTTTAGTTCAGCAGCTAACAGTGCTTGGAAAGGTAGAATTTTTTTTCTCTGTCCTAAAAAAAAATGTTTGTTATATCGTAAAACTTTACATAACATATGATTTTCTGTCTTGTTCACTAATTCCCAAATTAAATAATGCATGGGAGTTATAACAGATAATTATCTTGCCAGGTAAAAATATATTAAAGCCTATATTGTGCTTTGAAAATGTTGCAGTTTTTTCATTCTTAGTAGGTACATTAGTCACTTTGCCATTGCTGGAACAAAATACTCAATACCGGTAATTTAAAGACAAGAATGCTTTTGGCTCAGTTTCAGTGGGTACAGTCCATGGCTGGCTGGCTCCCAGGGGAAGCAGCATCTTCGAAGGGAAGGGTGGAGGAGGGTGGCTCACTCCTTGGCAGTCAGGAAGCAGAGAGAGAAAGGAGGAGTTGCAAACAAGTAGACACTCTTCCAGATCCTGAATCTAGTGACCAGGTCCACCTACTAACGACCTTGTGAACTATGAACTTATCAGTGGGCAAATATACTGATGAATATAGTTCCCCCATGACCCAGTGCCTTACCAAAGGCTACACCTCTGAACGCTGAGACTTTGGTGGGGGGCATAACCTTGGGCAAGCTTATATACAGATAATTTTCTACCTTGTTAGTCCCAATACATTTTTTTTTTTTTGTCTTTTTCCTTTTTATTGGTACCAGGGACCAAACTCACGACTGCCGGCTTGCAAGGCAGGTGCTTATGCCGCTGAGCTAAATCCCCAGCCCCACCCCAATACATTTGTTGAATGCTTTCTGCATTTTCTTGCCTCATGTTGATAGAAAACTAAAATAGACTTACTATACAAAAAAATCAATTGCCTATATATCATATATAGATTAGCAATGATCAATTACAAATTGAAGCTTAAAGATAACATTTATAATAGCACCAAAAATATGAAATATGTAGACCTAAATCTTATATGTATAGGATATGTATGCTTAAAAAGAGAAAAAATAATAAAATAAATCTAAAAAATCTAAATAATTATAGATACATAAAATGTGTATGGGTTAAATCATTAAATGTTTTTGAGGTTTATTCCTTCACAAATTGATCTATAAGTTCAGTGTCCGGGCCTGCAGGTAAGTCCATGGAGATCCTAGAGGGGGAGTGGGGATGAAGAGGGGACAAGAGACACAAAGGGTGGAGACAACACAACACGAAGTCCTTCCCTTTGAGTCTCATTTATTCAAGGAAGGAGAATCAAATATGTATAGTATTGGGGAGGAGGGAGTTGGATTCTGAGATGTCAGCAGGTAACTTAGTTGCAGTGGCAAGACCAACGGTTATAGGTCAATTCAAATTTCCTAGACACAGGCTCATAAGGCGGGCTGATTAACATAATTCCTGAATAGGCCAAACAAGCTAGGTAGGCAAGGTGCTGCTTAACTACCAAACTTAACTCCTGGAGGAATTTAAGGTGGTGCAGCCCGAAGATGTTAAGGTGGTGCGGCCTGCAGATACAAGGTGGCAGTGAATTACAGGGCTTTCCACAGTTCAGTGTAATTACAGTCATAATCCCAGGAAGATTTTTTTTTTTTGGTGGAAATCAACACATTGAATCAAAAAAAGATATGGAAAGGCAAAGAAATAGAATAGTCAAACAATTTTGAGAACAACAAATTTAGAAAATAATCACTCTACCTGATTTCTAGACTTACTAAAGTAAGCAGTAGTCAAGAAGTATGTTATTAAAGGAAGGAGAACAAATGGATTAATGGAATAAAATAAGTAGCCTGTACCATTTATTTATTTTGAACAAAGGCCTATGGTCAGCTGATGAGAAATGGTCGTCATTTAAACAAACAATGCAGGAAAAATTGCATATGCTCAGCACCCCTCTGCCACAATAAACTTCAAGCTATATAGTACAAATCACCTCTTCAGTTGAACCTAATTTGTTTGCAGAATGATAAGTAGAAAGAATTTCATGTTCCTGTTAAAAAGTAGTTGACTAGTTTAGTAGTTTTATGAGGTACGCTGGTATGGAGTAGAAATATGCTCTGCTCAGCCTGTGGTCCTTGTGACAGAAAGAGCTGGGGCGACCTCACGGCTCTCCTCTCAGTCCCTCCCCATACTTTTGCCCATCAGCCCCTCTTTCCTTATGTCTAGGAAACATATTCCAAAAGGTCTTAGGGACATGAAACAAGATGAAACACAGTCAGTCAGTGAGGTACAATGTGCCACTCTGGTGCACAGTGGCTGAACTCCTGAATTGATTTCCTCAAGGGCCATAGGCAGAGGCTTTGCTGTGCTGCCTTGATTTGTGTGCCGATAGAGGTTCTCATCAATAATAAATTAGATTTGTGTATATGTTGTGTTGCAGATGTCAGCAAACTTGTGAATCTAATCTCTTAATTTTGTCCTAGATCTAAAAATGTAATTTAATTGTGTATACACATACAGAGAACCCTTCCCTTATCAAATCTTATCTTGTTGTAGTTTTGGGTTTGTCTGTTTTTCCCAGTACTGCTGATCAAACGCACAACCTTGTGCTTGTGAAGAAGGTACTTGTGCTGCTGAGCTATAGCCCAGCCCTTATCTTGTTTTTTACGTATCTCCATGATGAAGGATTTACCCTATGCAAAACTAGGATGTTGGTAGAACTTAACTTTGGAATATGTGTTCCTCCAATCCCTGCTATTTAATGCAGGATGATGATGATGTTATACCACCTTTTGCATGGCTGCAAGAGCAGTACAAAACGTTTTTTAATAAAAATTTTATTTTATTTTACTAGTACATTTTATTAATATATCTTTATAGATACATGTTTATAGCACACAGTGACTAAGTTTATGGTAGGGAGTCTGTGTATGTATATAACATGATTTTTTTTGTCCCCTTCCTCTCCTCCCATCCTTCATTCTCCCCCCAACTCTTAATCCCTTTCTCACCTAAAAAGCACTATTTCCATCTTGAATTTGATTGTCTTTTTTAAAATTTTCTCCATTCCTTCCCTTCCCTTTCCATTTATCATTCTCCTTCCCATCCTTCTCTTTTGAAAAAGATTTATTTTTATTAATATTTTATTTTGCTCTGAATTTGTATTTGAGGTTTCTCATGTAAGAGAAATTGTTCAATATTTAAACTTCCACGTCTACTTTATTTCGCTTAACATTATGTCTCAAGAGGCATCCATTTACTGACAGATGCCTTAAGTTTATCTTTTTTTTAATGGCAGAGTAGAAGTCCACTGCAGCACAATGCGTTTTTAAACAGGCAAATTTTCACTAATATTCACTGCTGTCCTTTTTTACCCCTTCTTGCCTCTTTTAGAAGACTCCCAAAGTCCTCACCCAGCCTTAAAACTTACTTCACTGTGCCTGTTCCCTCAGGCCCTGGAGTTCTGATGTAGCCTATTTCCCAGAAATAGGTACTGCATCGCTTCCTCATCTTGTAAAATGTCTGTATCTTTAACATAGCTGACTTCAGTGAGGTGTTAAGTTATAATACTGACCATAATATCCTTGTGCTAATTCTGCCAAGATGTAAATGACTAATACCCCCTAAAAACTTCAAAAGGTGTAATAAGGTGGACATATGTTTCTAAAAGTGGATTGCTGTTAGTCCAAATAAATTTCTCCTTGGCGAAGTTTTAGATAAAGTAAAGAGGAAAAATAAAACTTAGCACTTATTTGAGAGTCAAAACTTAAGAGATGAAGAGAAAATAGAGGGACGGCCAGGTAGGCTGCTGGCTTCAGTTAGGGTTCCACTCCTCCCCTCTGCGTTTCTGCACTGCTCTTAGAGTCCCGAGTCCTTGTCCTCCCCCTCAGAGTTCACGAATTAGCTTTACTCTTACTTTCAGGGTTCGCAGCTGCTGTGGAAGCGAGGGAAGGGGCTCTGGCTTTGGAGGAGGTCTGGATGGGACCAGGTTGGGAAGTGAGACTAGTAACAAAAGGAGAGGTACAACTCAGAACGCACAGATTGTGTGCAAGTTGTCAAAATCATGCTCGTCCAGAAATGTATTTGAAAAGAAAATATATAGAGTATCTTTTTGCCCTTTTGTTAAGAAATTAGGTGAGAGGATTAAGACCAGTGGGAGGACACAGCCCGGATTGTAACATCTAGTAATCTATGGAAAAGATATTCTTATGTCTGTCTGTGTCTATCTAAATTGCTTATGAAGAAGTGACAACAATTTTTGAGCTTTTTTATATCTTGACATCATCTTCCTAGGCTAGTAACAGAACCCTGCAAGAGAAGATTTTACTAGTGAACAATTTGGTAGAAGCCTTTGGAAATGCCTGCACTATTATAAATGACAATTCCAGCCGATTTGGAAAATACTTAGAAATGAAATTTACTTCTTCTGGAACTGTAGTTGGTGCACAAATCTCTGAATATCTTCTGGAGAAATCCCGAGTTATCCACCAAGCTGCGTAAGTTCATATTCCTGTTTCTCTTGTTTTCTGGGAAACATCAGCAGAGAGCGTTTCTGTCTTGAATAGGAAGAGTCTTTCTCATTTAACAAAATTGTGTTAATAACTTAATTCATGCTTGGCACTTAGTATGGGAAGCGAAGAGGCCCCTTAGCACTATCTTACTGTCACATGTTTTATTTAGTAGTGAAATTATGCTGCCAGACCCCCCCAAAAATCCCCAAAGCTTATAATATAGGTACTAACAGAGTAAATAAAAACAAGCACTGAAATAGGGAAAGAATGTATTTCTCCACATGAAATGGATGTGAAATTTAATTAGAAATAACTGAGTGGGTTTTTTTAAAATCATGCAGTATATAAACAGTAAAATTTCTTGTTAAATTCACAGGAAGTGAATTGTTGTAAGTGTATTATTTAATACAAGTGCATTCAAATTCATTGTTGTTTAATTTGTCAGTAAATAATGAATATGAGGCTAGGAGTATACGTCAATGGTAAAGTTCCTGTAGCATCCACAAAGCCCTAGGTTCAATCCCCAGCACAAAACAAACACAAAATCATGAATGCAGATTGCCTGAATTCCAGCTCTTGAGCACAACACTTGGTGTGGAGAATTACCATTCTCCCTTCAAATAAATGTATTTAAGATATCATTACTAGGCTGATAGGATTTGAAATATGGCTTCAGGATTCATTAGCTTCCTTTGGCTAAGATATTCAAACCTTAAAGACCTGTATAGGGCCTTGACTCTGCAACTTAAGAGGTGTGTGATTTGAAACAATTTACTTAACCTCACTGCACCTCTATTTTTTTATCTTAAAATGGAAAAAGCATTAGTGCTTACCAACCAATATGGTGATAACTGAAGTATAGTATTAATACAATGAACAGCAGACTCTATTAAATTCAAGCCACTAGTAGTAGCAATGTAAATAGTTGTGAAGGTTAGAAATGACACTAGCATGACAGGCCCAGAACAGTGAAGATATTCAATAAATGCCCACCACTATCATTGATGTGTACCCTGTGCCCAGAACATAGTGAGCATACCCAGAGAGACCTTGGGCCTCATGCAGACATGTAGAATTAACCTGGTTCTCAAAGCCCTCTCTTTGGCACTTGTCATCACGTGACCCCTCCTTCAGGCCTTTGGGAGAGAATTACTTCAGAGTGACCTACAGATGTCTAGATGGAGCACCATGCTTTACAGCATGCAGGGTCATCATTTATAGTGTATGGTGTGGAGGGAGGTGCCGTGTGTTAGATGTTCTCTGAAGTTACACAGCAAGGCCATAGAAATGAACTCCTAATGAATATTGAAAAATTGCAAGATGTAGCCGAAAAATTGCACAATTAGGAGTATATTTAAGGCATGAATTAAATAAGCTTTTCTCTCAAGACAGACTACTAAGTTATTTTAGCTTTACTACCCTGTTTACAGAAGAAAAGCTTTCCAACTCCTAAATTTACAATTAAGTTAAAATAGAATTCAAATATTATTTGAGCACAGCTACCTAATAATTGACAATAAAACAAAATATTCATTTTTATATTTTCCTTTCACTTAATATAAATTACATTTTATATGCCAGAGGACTTTTTGTGACCTTTGCAAAGAAAAATAGCAAAGATGTAACAAACATTAATTTTAATTGTAGGCATTTTTAATTATAAATGTAAATGGAATGTATCAATTGGAGTTACTAAAAAGAAAGATCTAGATCAAAGGTTTGAAGTGAAAAGCCTATTTGCAAACTTAGAACACACATCAGAGAATCATGAGCAAATGGTGAGATTCCCACGGCTAACCGGGTGGGAAGTAGTATGAGAAGACAGCACACCAGGGCCCGCAGCTGGAGGGCAGGGGCTGCCATGGGTCTGCTGCCCTAGAGGATGCAGCCAGCCGTGGCTTGGGGCAGTGTGGGTGGGGATACTCCCAAGCTCTCCTCTCCCTCCCACAGGGATCCTCCCTGTGCTGCCTCTTGGCTGGAGCCAGTGGAAGCCTGACAAGGAAGCTGCAGCACTGCAGTCCCAGAGGCCAGCGTTTGGGAGTCCCGGAGCAATGCGGAGGAGAGTGGAGAATGGGTGTGTGGGGCAGGGAGGAGCTGGAGCAGACACGGCTTTGAATTGAAAACGAACTTACACTTTCTTTTGAGTGAACTGGTTGTGTCCTTCCTCCTCTGCCTTGTCATCACACCCCAGTCTCTGATCATATCTATTGTTTTACTGTCTCATGATGACACTCTTACAGACTTGTGACTTGAGTTCTTTTCTAAATGTAGATGATTTTAAAGAAGAATGTTGAGGCTACCTAAATTCAAGAAGGAAATGAGAGTATTGAAGGCCTTGCTGGGTAATTCTCATTAATATAACTCACAGCTGTTTCTACTCCAGTCCTTCCTGTTACCTCAGTGTAGTTTTGCAAGCACCTATTGTTTTCCTCTCCCTCACCGGCCCTTTGCTGGGCCCCAACAAGTCGTCCACACAGTGGCAGCAAGCTGCTGTCTGGGGTGAGGCAAGGGAATACATTCATGGGGCAGTGCTGCATGCCAGACACTGTGCTAAGCGCCTTCCCACCTTTAGGTCTTCTAACACTTACAGTCAGACAGGATTACAGCAGGGTTATTGTTGCTTTTACCCATGGTGAAACAGAGCCTGAAAGAATTTTAATAAGTTACCTTAGATCAAAAAGCTAGGAAGTGAGTGAATTTGAGTTTGAACCACCTTTCATTCAGTTGTTCATTCATTCCTCCTCTTGGCAAATGTTTGTCGAGTGTCTGTTGGATCTGTATGGATCTTTGTGGTCTGCTCAGGGCTCTGTATGCCTTGGTGCAAAGCTTACTAATCATTCCTTGATCCCAAGTCTATCAGGAAAGTAGGGAATGAGTTTGGCTGCTATGAGTGATCAGGTAGGTGGCAAAGAAGGATACTGAGGAGACTGACTGACTAAAAGCATTGTTTAATAAATACCCTGTTATTAACTTTACATGCCTTCTTGCTGGCCAAGTGTCAAGGATTCAGAGATTTCATGCCTAAGGGTGTAAAGTTGCACCCTTCTGAGGACTTTGCTATGGGATTTAGAAGTGCATAGCCACCCCAGGGTCCCACTCAGATGAATGTAGTACATCTAGCCTAATGATATTCCTGAGGGTCTCCAAAAAAGTAGCCAAGGATACCTAAGTAGAAATGGAGGAAAGTTGAAGAAATACCACTGGGCACATTGCTAAGACCCTAAATTTTTCCCCGGACACCCTGACGTGGTAAACTACTGGTCACACTGTGTGAGATGCTGTGTTGCTCTGTCTCCTTAAGAGCAGCTTCAATTTGGGGCAGGACATGAAATGGGTAATCTTGGAGGTGGCTTCTTTTCAGATTGCTTTAACCTTCTGATTGGTTTGTTTTTGTTTTGTTTTGTTTTTGTTTTTTTTTTTTTTTTTGTGACGGTCAGTTTATTTCCCATAGTATCTCCAGGTCTTGTCAAATTAGCAATCTCGCTAAATGTAAACTAATAATTAAAGAGAAATCCACTGATATTGTGTGTTTACATTTGTGAGTCACTTCAGTTATTGCACATTGCATCTTTTAAGAGTTAAAGATGTGACACAAATCAGTGTGATTTTATTGGAATAAAACAAACTAAATTATATACTATGGTAATATTAGGGAGATTTCATTATTTTGTGATGATAAAAGACGAGCACTAGTCTAAACTTGGTTTTGTCCTGGCCTCGCTCATGAACAGTGTTAGTATTGGAGTCTCACTGTTGACCTCTTGGGGACTTGGGGATACAAATCTGACCTACTTTAAGGAAGGGTGTGCCTGCTGTCAGCATCTAGCCCATGGACTACCTCTTCTTGAAAGTGTCCTTAATGTTTCCGTGAACATTCTCCTAATTCTTCTTCCACTGCACTGCATTTCTCTTCTCTGATTCAGGTTCATCTGTTCATTCCTAAAACATGAATTTACCAAGATTTGTTTTAGACATTTCTCTGTTTTCCCTCGGTGTGCTCTCTTTGCAGTGTCTTCCTACATTATGACCTCAACAGATAGGTCTGTATGATTAACACTCAAAGATGCACTTCTTTCTCTCTCCTAAGTTCACATTTTCCAGCTACTGACACATCCTGCTGCTCTCTGATTCAGGTGAATTCATTCCCAACCCTGTGTCCTACAGCTCCTCTCTTTTGGAACTGGCCTCCTGTGGCTATGGAAAATCTTACTCCCTTCATTTTTCAGGCCTGCTCATTAAGCTGTATTGACATCAACTCTGTAATTACTTCCTTCTTTCCTTTGCTCTCTCTTCCTCTGTGAGTGTTACTGCAAGCTCTTGTTCCCTTTGATCTGACATTTGAAAGATTGGATTTTGTGGGCATCTGAACACTTTTCCAGGCTTAGTGATATACTCTCCTAGGGGAAAGTCTGACCCAGAATATATATTAATCAATGGCACCATTACTTTTCTCTTACACGTACTAACAATGAAGAACCAAGTTCTTACACATTGTTTTTATAAACTTTTAGGAAAGACCAAATGGGGTGTCTAAAATAATTATTGGTACAGTACCAATATCAAACTTTAATCATGCTATTTTAAACCTATATTAATAGTGTGTTAGAGTCTTGAATGAGCAAATGTGAAAGATCTTGCAACAGTTCAAGACTATTGAACCAAAACTAACAATTACAAAATAATAAAACAACAGATATTCCAAAATTCTAAATATTTTTCCTCCAAACATCTTTTACTGCATCATTAGAAAAGCAAGCATATATTAATATGTTTAAATATTCTGATTTTGAGAAAAAAATACACTGATTTTGAGAAAAACTTTTGTACATCACGAAAATAACCTCTAAAGAAAACAAAGGTAAAATTTCTGTCTCAATTAAGATTAATCTGTGTAATATGCAAGAGGAGAAGAGCTAAGAGAGTTTTAAAATCCCTTCTAATCTTTTAAGAAAAATAATGTAAAATTATGTATACTCATAAAGCATACTTTTTTTCTGTTTCATAAACTTTATGTGGAGAAGCTTCAAAAGTCTCCCTTGGAAAAAATATTAACTTAATAACAATAATTATTTTCTGAAAATAGCTAATTATCCCCAGTATCACTGATAAAGAAGTCAGAGAAGGGAACAACAGAGCTGACAAGCTGCCCTGGAATTTCCATGTTGGGGGTGAAGAAGGAGAGGAATCCTAAGTGTAGCTGAGGCCACTGCCAAGGGGCCAGAGAGGACAGGAGCCACAGTGTCAGCGTAGGATCTCAGGACTCAGCCCCTTGGTCATCTCTAGAATTTGGGATGAGAGCAGGTTTTCTACTAATTGAAAGGAGTAATAATATAAGAAATGAAGACACCAAAGCCATAGAGTTTGAGACATTATCATTAGTTTGACTCTAAAACACCATGCCCTGCTTCCAGTTCCAACACCAGTTTGGTGATAATGGCCTGCATAGACACATGAGGATTTAGACCCCCAGAAAACAAGAGGAGGGTGCTGTGGGAAGCTGAGGAAGAGAATGCCACCAGAGAGATACACCTAGGTCTCCCAGATGGCCACCAGGGTCATTAAGAATGAACGTGAAACAGAGCAGAAGGGATGGTGATGAACACCTTCTCTTCTCTGTTTCAGTGAAGAACTAGCATGTGTGATCTGTCCTGGAAACCCATCGGACACAAAGGAAGATATGAGGAAGGGAAACAGAGACACTGCAGTATCAGAGACAAAGACTCACTCATCTTACTGTGATCTTCCTTCATTGTATCATTCCAACACTGGGGAATTTCTCTTTATACTTAGAGCCCCAGGGTCATGGAATTTGAGAGCTATAAAAAGAGATTCTTCTGGAGGTGAAAAAACAGAATTTTAGAAAGACAGTGTCAAAAGAAAATTAAAGGCACACACTTTGGCATCAGATAGTCTCAGTTTGAATCCAGGAGTATCTGTGACTTTGAGGGAGATTGATACTCCCAGCCTCAGTGTTTGTGACATGGGAAAACCGTGCCTGCCTTGGAGAATTTTGACATGTAAATGAGATACTGCAGCACTTGTGACCATTTGGCATGTTATCTGTGTATGTGTTTCTTTTTCTGTCTCTCCACACCAACAAGTTGGGGATTTCTTTTTTTACAGTTTTTTTCTTGCTATATCCCCAGTGCTTATGTTAATATCTGAAAGGCACAAACGTGTTAAACGATCATATCAAATATTTATCATGGTGTCTGTAACTTTATTTTTTTGTTTTTTTTTAATGTAAAGTCCATTCTCTTTTTTTAAATTTGTTGTTTTGTTTTAAAGAGAAAAAGAAAGATTAAGTAGCAAACACTTAAAAACAACAAAAGCAAACTGGCTACGCAACAACAAAAAATGACAGCAACAAAAAACAAGGGCAATATAGGATCTCAAAACAAGATGATAGGAATTTAACAATGGTTGTTATATTGCCATTGTTAACCTCAAAGTAATTGCTCAAGTTACCAGATACACGCATGTGAGATTGACCAAACAATAAAACTTACCTTGGAGCAGTTTTTGCCTTTCACTGTAACTTTTGGGTCTTATTTACTCTTTCAGTTTTTACACTTGCAGGACATTATGATGTTTACACAGGCAAGCCTGGTTTATGTGACTTATGAGTATGGTTTCTAGCTGCATCCATTTACCTAGCTTCGAGTTATCATTCTTTATTGCTGAGTGGTATTCCGTTATATAAAAAGACCACATCTTTTTTATCCACTCCTCACTTGATGGGCATTGCGGTTGTTTCTAAGATTTAGTCACTACAAATTGTGCTGCTATAAACATAGGTGCACATATATCACTGTGGTATGATGTTTTCAATACCCAGAAGGGGAATAGCTGGGTAAAATGGAATCTCTAATTCCAGTTTTTTGAGGAAATCTCCATACTGATTTTCACAGTGGTTATAGCAGTGTCCACTCCCACCAACAATGCAAAAGAGTTTCTTTTTCTCCTCAGCCCCGCCAGCACTTGCTATTGGTTCATTTCTTACTCATTCTTTCTGGAGTGAGATGATATCTCAGTGTTGTTTTAATTTGCATTTCTCAAATGACCAATGATGTTGAACATTTTTTCATATATTTATTTTTTATTTGTATTTCTTCATCTGAGAATTATGCATCCATCTCAGATGCCCATCTTTGGACTGAGTCTTTTAATTTGGGGATGCCTGATTTTTTTCAGTTTTTCATACATTCTAGATAAAAGTCTAGGGACACTTGGCAAAGCTCTTTTCCCAATCTGTAGGTTTTCTTTTCACTCTGTCGGTGACTTTTTTCAGTGTGCAAAGTCTTTTTAATAAGATGAGACCCCATTTGTTGATTCCTGTGCAGTTTAGTTTTTGTTCATGAACTCTTAGCCTATCCCTATGCCCTCAAGATTTCTATCTTTTGTCTTCCAGTAGGTTTAGTGTTTCTGTCTTAATATTTAGATCTTTGATACATTTTGACTTTAGTGCATGGTTTAAGTCTTTGGCATATAGTTTAAGTCTTTGGCATATAGAAACCCAGTTTTTCCAATACCCCTTATTTGAAAGGCTATCTTTCTTCCAGTGAACATGTTTGGCCCCTTTGTCTAACATAAGGTGGCTGAGTGTGCTTGTAGTTTTGTCTGTATCTTCTATTCTGTTCCACTGATCCTCAGATTTGTTTTGTTTTGTTTTGCCAGTACCATGCTGATTTTATTATAGCAGCTTTGTAGTATAATTTCAAGTCTATGATTATGATGCCTCCTGCCTTGCCTTTGCTGCTCAGGATTGCCTTACTCCCAAAACCATTATATAGATTTAATGCAATCCTGGTCAAAATACCATTAACATAGCTCTGAGGTTTAGAGAAAACTTTCCTAAAATTCATATGAAACCATAAGAGCCCTAGAATACCAAAGGCAATCCTGGTGTCTATAACTTAATGATGGTGATTTTTTTTAAGCATAATTACATCAACCCCAGAACACCAAAATGTAGAGCTCAGGAGACCACATAGACACTCACAGTTGATTTTGTCCAATAACTGTATTGCCAAGCAATTTTAACAGTTAATAGATACTCCTAATAATCATTAATAACATCTTATTTTTCAGTGGAGAAAAAAATTTTCATATTTTTTACTACATTTATGCTGGTTTAGCTGAAAAGAAGAAACTAGCACTTTACAAACTGCCTGAAAATAAACCTCCCAGGTAACCGACCAGATTGTACTGGCATGAGTAATACTTTCTATCCCCACTTACTTTTTCAGTTTTTATACTTCTCTTTGTGCTTTTTCAGGTACCTACAAAATGACCATCTCAGAACAGTACAGGATATGATGAATAATAGTTTTTATAAATCTCAGTATGAACTAATTGAGCAATGTTTCAAAATCATAGGCTTTACAATGGAGGTAAGCACAAAAGACATCTGAACGTTTTTAGGAACTATGTTTTGTTATTGCTTGCGCCAGGTCAGTATTAATTGAGTGATTAACATATGGGCTATTTGGGGGGAATTGTTTGAATTTTGCTAAGAAGTCATCATCAAATTTGATGTCGCAGATTGTGCTTGATGAATGTTCTTACAGTAGTTTAAATTCATCCTATATTTCTGACTATATATATTTGTTTCTCCTTGTTCTCTTTTAACTTGATTTGGAAAGAATTTTTAATCTTTAAAAAAATAAAACAGTTGGATGTGTTTACACATACTATACTTTTCACTATCTGTATAATTGATTGTCATTTTTTATATTTTTATTAACTTAGTTACTTGATTTCTTTCATTCTTTTTTCTTAAGGAGAATATTTGAGTCCTATATTTGTCTGATTTAATTTATTTCTGATTTAATACATTTAAGGTAATAAATTTATTTCTGAGTAATAAAAATCTCCCATACATTAGTTTGTATTTCTTTAATTTTTATTCCAATATTCCACAGTACTTTGCTTAATGGCAACTTCCAAAAGCTGTTAGAGAAGCTTTCAAGCTCTGCTCTTAGTAGTTTACTGTTTGCTGTGTTGACTCTGATCCTATGATAAAAAACCTCACTCTGAATGTGAATCAGGCTTTTTAAAAAGCCCTTACAGGAAAGTAGTTCATTGAATTTTCAGTTAATTTTCTTAACCTTCCTGCAGCTTGAAACAGTAAATGTGTCTGTTTAAGAAATTTACTGACATTACTTAGGTTTTCAGAACTCTCTTAAGGAATTAAGCTAAAACAGAATACCTAATTCTTCTCAAAATAGCTAGAAAATTTAATTAGCAAGATATAAAATGGAAAGATGCCAGTAGAAGTGAAATTTTACAAAATTAAATTATGCTAAGTTGTTGAATTTAATCATTTTGTGGCTTGATTTTAGGGCTCTGCTCACTCTTCTGTTAGCCGACTCTGTCACTATAATAAAATCCTGGAGATGCTGAACCTAAAAAGAACATATTTCTTTTGGGTCGCAGTTTTGATGCCTGCAATCCACCAATGGTTTGCCCCTTTGCTTTGTGCCTTGTGCAAGGCAGCACATCATGCAGGATAAAGGTGGCAGAGTATGGTACATCACAGCCCGGAAGCAAAGAGAGACAGGAAGGGATGAGTTCCCACGCCCCAGGGAACTACAGATCACTCACAGGGCCCTCCTTCCAAATACACCACCATTTCCCAGCCTGCCAGTCTGGGGAACCACACTTTTAACACATCGACCTTTGACCAATATTTAAAATCCAAAGTACAGCAGTGTCCTTCCAACATAGGAGCTTGTCGGTAACCTTCAGCTCCACTGCTCATTTGTTTATTAGGATTAGGTGTACATGTTCTTGGTGTAGAACTTGCTTTTGCTGAGACCATTCTCTCCTGCTGTGCTATTCTGCTTTTGCAGCTCTGGTGACAGACACACACACACACAACACACACACAGTCCTAGGTTCTCTTTGAACACGTGGCTCCAATCTGGAAGTCCTGGATGCACTCTTAGGAGAAGGTGTTCTTAAGACCTTGCCCATAGCAATGAAGTGTGATCTCTGCCAACTGATTAAGGTTAGAGAAGGAGGTCAGACAAATGGCTTTTCTTTTTAGTTGAAATTATGGCCCTATCTTACAGTAGTTGTTTAGGTAAATCGTAGGTCATATTTGTTCCTAAGGTTTCTAGAGATCTAGCTCCCCAGAGATAAAACTACAACCCAGCAAGACGTTTGATAGGATAAAAATGCAAAAATTTCAAGTGGTGCTCGTCACTTCACTAAATGCTTTCTTAAGTCAGGTGTGGTGGTACACACTTGTGATCCAAGCACTCTAAGAGGCTGAGGCAGGAAGATCATGAGCTCAGCCAGAGTAATATAGCAATTTAGCAAGACACTGTCTCAAAATTTAAAAAACAAATTGAACAGCCTGGGATGTAGCTCATTGTGAAGACCCTAAGTTCAATCCCCAGTACTAGAGTGTGGGAGCTTTCTTAAGAGACTTTTTGAAAAGAGATTTTGTTTTATATGGTCCCCGTACAAATGGAAAAAGTAGAATAATGGTATAATCTGGTCCAACTTAAGAAATAAAGAATTAAAGTTATTATGAAATGAACTTCGTTAGATTTAACTTACACATCTGATTTACATAACAAGTAAGTATTCAGAGCATTGTTATGTCATAAGCAGAGAAATAGCTTTCGTGAACCATTTCAACTTCCAAGGTAAATTTGCCTATTGTGGCCTTTCTCCAAACCCAAGAAGAATTCAGAATTGGTGGGGAGGCTGCTACCTGGCACTTTTAATACCTCAGAATTTAGAGTTTCTGGCCTGAGTTCTAAATAACTACTGTTTCTAGATGAATTCATAAATTGTAGCAGTAGTGAGGTGAGGGAGAAGTAGAGGAGCCAGAGAGGACTTAGAAGAGTGTGTGCAGAACAAAGAGAATTTAGCTCTTCTTGGGACCAGGAGGAGCATGATAATTATAATGTTCTTCAACAGATCCTTAATTTTTTCAAGAATATTTGAATCATAAGGACAAGGGAAAGTGGTACTCTAGACTCAGTGGAGCTTAGATTGAACACATCCTCAGGGAGATATTTTACTCTGGATCTTTTGTCACAATAAATGAGCGAGGCTAGCTGCATTGGAAGTAATGATTTGATTTGTATGTTTTAGCTGCCATGCTGTTAGTAAGCTTAGTCCTGAGGCCAGCCTTCTTGTGGGCAAGTCTCCTAATCACTTTCCAATTGCCGAGACACGCTAAGTACCCAACACCCATGATTTGAAGGAGGAGTGATTGAATTCACCTCGCAGTTACAGTCCCTGATTGGTGAATTCCAAGTATCTTTCTAGCAGATTGCTGGTGAAAGTAACTGCCCACATCGTAGTGGCCAGGAAGCAGTGAGAAGGGGGGAACCTGAGAAGGAGCCACACCATTCTAGGTCCTGCCTCAGTGACCACCTTTCCCACTTCCCAGCACACATGCAGTGGCCAAGATACCCATGAATGAGTCCACTGATGAGTATAGTCACTTGTGACTCAGTCAACTTCCAAAAGTCCTACCTCTGAAGTCTCAAGGTTGGGGCACAGGGTGCACTTCTGATCTAAACCTTAATGACATGGGCCCTTCAGGTTGTATCTCTGGCTTCCCCCTGTCAGAATTCAAATCCTGACTTCTCTGCTTCTGTTGTCACTTTCCCTCCCTAACCTCTTCCTGACCCTGTCTTCATCCCTCCCACAGCTTGTATCTATGGAGACAAGCTGATTTAAGCACCCAGCATATCCTGGCTCTTAGCACGGATCCAATTTATTTGAGATGTATTGAGGAAAGCAAAAAGTACTACCTCACCCTGTGGTCCTAAGACCCGCACTCCTAGGAGGAGGAGTCCTTCTGGACTGTGGGCTGACTGTTAGGTGCTTGCTCAGCAGAAAGCAGGAGAAGCTTATTCACTCTCAGGGCATCCTCCAGACTGGACAGATGTTGTACACCAACCATAAGCTGGGCTTGTTTATAGTTCTTTCCTCTGCTTTTTTGTCATCAGAAGAGCTTGTCTGCTTCTTACCAGTCTACTCCCCCAGAAGTTGCTATCTTAGATACAAGGAATCATTTTTAATTGGTTCATTTACTTCTCAGTTCTACTCACTAGGGGTAGTGTCTCAATTTGAGTCAACTATTTTTTCTTGCTTAATAGAGCAATGTTTAGTAATACTGAAATGAAACCAGTTTCACAGTATCTATTGACAAATGTAGTTCACTTATTTCAGTGTATGTTCTAAATGTAAACACTCAGGATGTATAGAACATCTAAACTAGTAGCTTAGGATAAAGGAGACTATAACATCTACCTCTGGCTCTGAGACATCACCATTGCTAGATATTTTGTGGAGACTTTTAGTCCAGTTTCAGGTGACACTTCTAGGACATGGCACACTCCTATATCAGATACACGATGAGACCTCGTGGGGCAGCCTGGCCTGGTCTGGGGACAGAATTAAATCAAGTGGGTGTGTAGTTTCTTTATACCCCAGTCCTGAATTTTTATGCCATCTTTCTAGCTGTCTTGAATCTGTCCTTCATCTGTAGCTGCTGCAAATCCATGTTGGATAGAGAGTGTTCAGTGCATAGGGAAGTGGTGTGATTATCACAGTCTCTTCACAGTTCACTGTTTCTCCCTCTCCAAGCCCCTCTCTCTCGCTGATGTGAATAGCACCGCCCTGAACATGTCCCTTCAAACATTCCCGTGGTTGACATCTACACATGCACTTGTGATTCAGCACAATCTCAAGGAAAGACAGTCAAATCAAAATTAGAAATTCTCTAAAAATAACCCAAAGTGAAAATTCTAATAAAACTTGTAAACTATATGATTTTCTAAACCATATTCTTGCCAAAACTGCCTATAGCATTTACAGTGACTAGCAGTGCGATGATTCAGTTCACTTAGAAACCATTTTAATGCATCATTAGACCATATAGTAGTACAAATATTTTTGCTGTACATAGAGTCATATGTCTAAGATGAGATTTCTGTTTTTTCTGCTTTAATCTTGGTTATTTTTTTTTGGATAGTCTAAAATTACAACTGGGGATATTTACTTTGAATTATCAATTAAGATCTTAGGATCAAATAGTATGAAATAAATATTTTGTAGGATCACACCTTTAACTAACTCAGGTTAAAAGTTTTTGGTCAAGATAGGAGAGGTTTATATGTCACTTTTAGTCAGTTAATAATAATTTTAAAATAATAATTTGACATCAAGTTGTTCTTTTCCCTCAAAATCATAAAGCAAAGTCAAGTCCTACAATGTCATGATTTGATCAGTTTATGACTTGAGCTGAGTGAGGAAAATCAAGAAGGCAGTTGATATAATAAAAAAAAATTCTGTGTTAAGGAGTCAAGATCCTGAATGAAAGTCCTTAAGACTGCTTGTTTCTGGTTGTGTGTCCTTAGACAAACAACTAAACCTTTCTGGGCTAAGGTTCTTTTTGTTATTGAGAGGAAGGATGATTTATTTTTGATTAATGAAATATTATGAGAGAGTTGATGACTAGCTTCCAATTCTCACTGTGATCTTATGACTGAAGTAGAACCATTTAATTTCACTCTACTCTTTAAGATTGCTCATGTCATTTCATTTCTTTAAAAATCTTCAGAATTCAACCTAAAAACATAGTGGCCTTCATAAATGAACAGCTACAAATGCTCTTGAGAGTATCCAATCTCTGGCTTCCTCCTCAACCTGCTTCCTCTGACCTTTCTCAGTGAGAGCATCAGCACCTGGCTCTTTCAGAACCAGGCCATGTGATGCCATATTGTTCAGGTAGGGGACCATGTCGTTGTGGTCCCTGGGGAACCTCACTGACTCTGAGGTCCAGGCACTGTCCTCCCTGCCCTCTCTCATCTAGGCTTTAATTAGACATCAAGCTCAAAAAGGCCTGAGTGTATGTCATCAAAAGGACCACATGCCTGAGACTCGGCCTGCCCAGCGTGGGCTGTCTCCTATTCCCAAAACAAAATCAGGGAAAGGGGTGTCATGTCTTCTCCAACCGTACCTTCAGCCTATGTAGAAGTTAAGTGGCTTTTGTAAGGAAATAACTTGGCATGGTAATGTGGTGTTTGCATAAAATCTATTAACTCAGGATACAGAATCTGAGACCAGAGGAAGAGGATATTTAAATTAAATGAAAATTCTGAAGAAGGCAAATAGAAACTCAGAGACACAGATTGAGGTTTAGAGACTTGTCTTATTTGACACAACTAATGGGAATGTTCTCTTTTGAAAATGTCCTCAATAAGTTTATAATCTGATAATAGAACTATACTGTACACAAAACATCATTCCTGTAAAATGTAGTCAATTCAGTGCGAGTGAGCAGTCTGGGATGGGTATTGAAATTGAAGAAGTTGGGAAAACAACAGCATAAGCTGGAACAGAGGTATGGAAATAATGTGGAATTCTTCGGAGCCTGGGTGTTAGAAAGTGTGCAAGAGCGGGAGCTAGAAATGAAAACAGAAACAGGCACAAGAAGATGCAGGATCCTCGTTTGTGTGCCTTGGTCAGGAGCTGGAATTTCATCCTTACAGGAAGAGAGCTCAGTGCCGACTTTAACTGGTGCCACAAAATGACCTGATTTGCCTGGTAGAAAATCCGTCCAGGAACCCAATAGGAGATAGGTTAGAGAGAGCCAAGATAAAGGCATGAGACTTGTTAGGAACATAATTCCAGAGGTGAGGGCATGTGCTGATCGTGAGTCTAGAGATTACCTTGATCCTGACCCATAAACATGAAACTAAATGCAGTTAGTTCACCTGTTACTGCTTTTTGATATTCAAAGAAAGTATGCCAATGCTCAGAAAGCACTATTTATAGTCATGACACAATGACTTCGCCTTAATAAATTGCATCTGCAGTGATCTTATTTCCAAATAAGATCACATTCTGTAGGATTGGGTCTAAGGACTTCAGCATGTGAAATTTGGAAGACACAGTTCCACCCAAGATTTGATTTGTCTCATCACCTATGATCTTATTTTTGTGTTTTCATATAGTTGTGAGCTGAGATTGAAAGTCCACGACTATTTACTGGGACAGAGAATTTGAGACTTTGTCCAGGATCTAGAACCTGCTTATTTCTATGACACTTTCTCAGCCCCACCACTAGTCACATTGGGAGCCAATAATTCTTTCTTGTGAGTCTTCTCATGTGCAGTATGGGGTGTTCAGTGGCATCCTCGACCACTATGCACTAATCACCAATAGCATCCTTTTCCCATTGTGATAACCCACAATGTCTCCAGATAATGAGTATAAAACTATCGCCTATAAATGCATCTTGTTTGGAAATGTAGAAAACAATGCAGCTTTTTATCATAAAGCATAAGGAATAATTAGATACAATTAAATAGTGAAGAGTTTTGTTTGTATATGGGTGTGAAATCCCACCTAACCACTTGTGCAGAACAATTGTTCAAGGAGGCTGTGCTGAGAACTGGGTGGGAGTAATATGTGAGTGTTGCCCAGAGGAGTGTGAGATGTGTATCAGCTGAGTCCCCACTGACAGAGCGGGGAGCACGGCTGTGAGAGGAGATCCAGATTTGTGCCTTGGGTTAAGTTATTCTAGAACCATGGTTTCTAACTGGGGGGAGAGGGGGTGACAATGTCTGGAAAGAGATGATGCATGGGTAGATGGATGGAGGGATGGTTGGTTGGTTGAGTAGTTACCATATGGCAATAGAATTTCAGAGAAGAAAGAATAATTCTAAACAAATTGCCTTTTTACTTGGGCAGATTAACTCAGTACAGAGAGGGTGACCTTGCCCCATCCGTGCAATATACAGCAGCATGATGTCTAGAGTAGTAGTGGAGGACATTGGAGCCTGATACATCTTAACAATGAAACTCTGGCTCCCTGGCAAACTAGAACTGAGTTTGTCCTTGAAGACATGGCAGAAGCATGTCTTTCAGCCCTCAAGTACAGAGAAACTAACACAGGAGATGGTATGGTGGAAAAAACATGAATATCTTCCAGATCCAGAGAACGCTTGGGAGCACCTTCTCCTATGCCACTGTACTTCCTCAATGGGAAAAGGTGGTGCATTCTACAAACTGGGGGCCAGAATTCAGGCCTCAAACTCCATGGAACTTCTGGTGACTTTATATGTTTAAAGCAAAAGTCATTTCATTGGTGTTGTTAACCATCAAATACAAAATTACTTTGGGCTCTTTGGTAATGATCAGTTGCAGAGATAAAAGAGTCTGTGTGTATACTATGAATAACTCAGTGCTGTCAGTCAAGACTGCCTGTGCTTTAAATCAGGCTCCTCCAAGGCCCATCAGTCTAGCCGCAGGCTACCCCAAGCCAGGGTACTACTTGGCTATGTTTTGAATCTCTAACTTCAATCTGGAGAATGTTTCAATTATAGAACATTAGGGAGAGCCCACATCCTGGAAAGACTGTACACTCTACTCAAGCTGTGAAACAGGAATTAAGTGTCCATTGACTCAGCAAATGAATCAATGAAATGAAACTCTAAATTCTTTCAAAAATACAGCTTTGAAAGCTTATAGACATAATCTTTCTAGTGTGTAACTGACAAATATACAAAGTTTTGAAAAAAGACAGTTTTCAACAACTTACAGAAAAGTATATTCCTGATGTAGAATACCTATAAGGCCTAAAGTTTCTTTAAGAAAAAATACAGCAAAATGTCAAGTGCTATATTAATTTCTCCATCTGAACACAGTGACGCTCACACTGGTCACTTCATTGCAATTTATGCCTATCACAAATGGTAATTCCTTACTGGGAGAATTTTCTTGAAAAAATGATTCAGTAGGTCTACCAGTCTATGTATAATTCTACTTTCAAACTGCATTCCAAATCCATTTGCGCATTTCCCTGTTCATCATTCACTGCTCTGACCACTCCATGTGCTGCAGAGCCTCAGACCCTTTCATATTGCCCAAGTTCATTGAGTTCCACACCTAGACAGGCTCATTGTGTTCAAATATAACAGAATGTCTGGTTTGAAATTGCTGGTGGCTCTTCATGGTAAAATTCACATCGAGGAGAGCCTGGGTCATCTTGCGTGTGCTCACCTCGCCAACACTTTATCCCCCCAGTCGTCTTCAGTCCACATGAAGCAGCCTTCCTCCCCCAAGGGAGCTGTTACTCTCGCCGTGGCCGCCACTTGAATGGGTCTTCTTTCCACGGCCAACTCTTTCCTGTCCTTCAGGCCTCTGCTTCAGCTCACCTCCTCAGCAGCCTTCCCTGAGCCTCTTACCATGAGGTAGCCCCTCATCCCCTTCCTACCCTTCCCAGTCACTAATTTGTGCCCCCTCTGTTTTGTTTTCTTCACAGCTTTTTTTATATGTTTCTCAAAGTGTCATGTTTGCCTATTTGCTTATTTTTTTATTGCTTCCTTACAATTAGGGGAAAAGAGGGTCTCTTTTCTGCCTGCTACTAAATCCCTTGTAATAGGAACGGTGTCTGACATAAAATAAAGGCTTACAAGATAAATGACAACATAGCCTGTATACATTCACCCAAAAATAATTTTATTTTATTATATCTATTTAAAATATTTATATATTAAGTGTATATTTTATATACACACTTGTAAATATATATATATATATATATATATATGCTTGTAAATATCCCTGAGTTTTTTTTTCTTATCCTGCTTTTATCTTGATATTGAATGTCATAGTGGATGAAACCATTTTATTAAGTACAGTATCTGGGTAGAATAAAGACAGCAACTTGAAACAATAAAGAATTTTATCTTCTTTGAATACCTTTCTGCACCATGAATATATACTTGGAATACCACCTAGAATTAGTGTAGATTCCTTGGCAAAATGCCATCAGTTCCTTCTAAAAGAAGAATTCCTTTACTTTGGAATTTATATCGATGTAGTAATGACTACTATAAACTCTAAGCCACAGCTTATAGTTCTCGAGCCTATACTTCAACCATATATATCCTTCTATTAGTGTGTTGAGATCTGTTGGTTTTTCTCTTTTAGCTCTCCATCCACATACAAAACCTCACTTTTAAGGTTCTGAAGTTTCACATGAATAGATTTTTCTGATGGCCCAGTGAGTGAGATATTTCTATTTCCCCTAGAAGAGCTCTTCATTTCCACATTTTATTCACATTTGCATTTATAGAAGATTTTAAAGCACTTACTGGGTAATAGCACACTCATCCCTAACATTAAAGTAGCCACTGTGGGTCCTTTTCTGCTTGGCTAGCTTAGTCTGACATCATAGTTTGAGGAATGACCTTCACATCCTGGAGCCAAAGGCTTATTTCCCACCTGTCCCCAACCATAGTCACCACTCTGAGTACTCAAAAAAATGATGCTCACATTTCTGTGGTATGTTTCAGCAACTGGGAAGTGTATACAGTATACTTGCTGCCATCTTGAATGTTGGAAACATTGAATTTTCTTCTGTGGCAACTGAACACCAGATTGACAAGAGCTACATTTACAATCATGCAGCTCTGGAGAATTGTAAGTTATATGATCTTCTATTCAAAACTAAATTCCTTCAAGTGTTATATCCTTCGTGTCCGATAAGGATAATTTCAAGCAGTTATACTCATGGAATCCTTGAAAGGAGGCACAGATTCGATTTGTGTAAAATAAAATTTTTAAAGTCCATTATTTAAAACAGATTTTAATGACTGAGAACTGATTACTTTAGAAAACATTTCTGAAGACTAGGCTTTTATGACTGTGTTAGTAGCTATTTATTTTAATGTGAAAATACAGAAGCAAAATAAGACATAGTTAACTGAGAGGGGAAAAAATTGAAGTGTTTATCCTGCAGACTTAGAAAATAAATCATTTAAAAAGCAATAAAACCTGTCTTTTTACTGAATCAATTTTATATACCCATTTGTCCTGTATTAATTAATTTTTTAGTCATTTTCCACACAAGAAGAGCACATCATGGTACTACTTCAAATCAAGTTTTCTCCTAATAACAGAGTTTGATGAATTATTCCAAATAAGTGAAGGACTCTTACTACTGTCTTCCAGTGGAATAGATTTTTATGCCTTGTTATTTTTATATTAGTATATTTTTTCATAACTATATTTGTTATTTCATTCATAGCCTAGGGAACCATGATATAAATATTTATGCATATATTTTTCCCAGAATCATATTTACCTCAGAACAAAATGAGAGGTTTTAGGGTAATTTCAGAGACCTAAATGCCAAATATTCCTGGCCCAGATTCATCCATCTTCTACTAACATACAAGAAATAGTTTCAGTGGCACAAAAGCCATCAGGTTATCAGAAATGACAGGAAGAGAGGAAGAACCAGACAACTTTGGTAAGATTCAGTTCTCACCATCTAATCATAATTAGAAGAGTTAACAGAATGAGATGCAATTGTGTTAGTTTGCTTAAGTCCCTGAGATAAATCAGCTTAGCCAGAGAAAAGGTTGATTTGGGTTGTGGTTTCAGCAGTTTTAGTCTGTGTTCACTTGCTCCTTATTCTCTTGCTTTGGGGCCTGTGCCCAGCCTCCATCATGGCGGAGAATGTGCAGTGAAGCCAAGCTGCTCACCTATACCGACCAGGAAACAAAGGTGCAGCGAGAAAGAGGCCTCTTCAAGAGCACACCCACAATACTCTACTTCCGTCCATAAGCCCTGCTCCCTAGGCTTCCACCACTTCCCTGTGGCACCACAGGCTGGGGATGTAGCCTTTGGGAGACATTTAACATCAATCCAATATTTGTAAATAAGAGTATACTAAGAAACAACCAAACTAGAAGATTGTTTTGATATATCTATTTCTGTGTAACAGGACAGTAACACAGGTCAACAAAAAGGTTAGTGTGAATATAATTAAGACACTTTCTGGAATAGCCACTTTTGGAAAATAAGAAATGTTATTAATTTACATTTAAATGATTTATAATTAAAGTTCAAAGGAATTATTTCCAAACCAAAGCCGCACATTATTTCACCAGGAATTAGTTCTGCCCTTTCTATCTTGTATGTATCACTCTTAGCATTTCTCTGCATGTTCATCTTTACCATTCTCAAGCCAGTATCACCTCTTACCTGAACTAAGTAACCTCCTAACTGCTCATTCTGCATCAAGAATTGAGCTTTTTATGCCCATTCTCCACAGTTAATCCAGAAACTACTTAGCTCGTGTGTCAGCGGGCTCTCATCTCCCTCCATTTCTACTGCCTCTCTCTTCTTCTACCTGCTCTTTTCTCCCCTACCCATTCTACCCTGTCTTCACCATCCTTCTCCCTCCTTCTGCTCCTTGTATTTCCGTCTCACTTCCTACTTAAATTTCTTTAAATTTCCATGCCTGCTGGGGCAAGATCATCAGGATTGGAACTTCCTTGTTAAACTATTGCACTTAATATTATGTCCTTGAATAAAAGGCCTAGTGTGTACCAGACAATAAATGTATGTCAATGAATGAACAATATGGGAATAGAAATAGACATACAGATCAGTGGGGGAGTTCAGAAACAGGTGCCTCTAAAATTCCCAAAATATAACAAATCAATTGAGAATCAATGTGGTAGAGACAACAATCTACTTAGCCATTTGAGAGAGGGGGAATTTGAATTCTTCTCAAACATTGTATACCAAAGTGAAATCTAAACATATAATTTAATGGAAATGTTATAAAATTACCAGATGAAATGCATTTGTATAATTCTTTGGGGTGAAAAAGGACTTGAAGCTTATGTTCAGAAAACCAAAAGCAAAAATTATTTTCCTGGAAATGATGTTTGACTACCTAGAAATTAAACTTTTATAGTACTCTGCGTGCTAGAGGTTGAAAGGTCCAGCCCAAGGCCTGCAGCTTACTGTAGTGTCCAATGCAAGTCCGTATCAGGAAGCCAGTAGGTCTGCAATGGGACACTGAAGAATCTAGGATGGAAGGCTGAAGAGTCTATGATAAAGGCTGAACAGTCCCAGGCTGAAGCCAAACAGTCTGTGCCAGAAGCCAGGAGGTGACATCCCAGCTAAAAGTGAGGACCGGAGGTACTCTAAAGAACCAGCAATTGGGGACTGGGGGTTTAGCTCAGCGGCATAAGCAGGTGGTCGTGACTTCGATCCCTGGTACCGATTAAAAAAATGAAAAAGACAAAAAAAAAAACACCAGCAATCAGCAATCAGTCCCTCCTAGTTTGCCTTTTTATTGTATGCAGGCTGCTCACCTAGGATAGTACAGCACTCACACCATCGGCCTGCACTCCTCTTGTACAAGATGAGGATATAAAACTAGGGACCCTGCTCCCTGCTTAAAAGCTTAAAAGTTCTGACCCACTCAAATTGATACAATGAACAGTAATATCCTAGAAAGGTAACTGCTGAATCATTTAGTTAAGCTTCTAGACTTCTTAAGTTGACACAATGTATAAACCATAACAAGTACATAAAGAAAACATAAATTAAGTTTCAGTGCAAATGAAAATGAGAAAAAGTATTTGCAGATATCCCCAACAAAATAAAAACTTCCCTTTAAACTCTAAAGAGATCTTATAAACCAGTTAAGAAATGGTGCACTTACAAATGCAACAAGGCAATTTACAAAATCAGAACCACAAATCACAAATAAAAATGAAAAACAAAAACAAAAAAATGTTCAACTTGGTATAATTAAAAACAAGACATTTTCCTATCAAATTGGCTATTTTTAAAAACAATTTCTGGTATCTATGAAATTATATTGAAACTGTCGATCTGTTTGGCTAAGAGGAATATATATAATTGTGTCAGGCTTTTTTTTTTTTTTTTTTTTTTTTTTTTGGTATCAGGAATAGAACTAGGACTTCATGTTTGCCAGGCAGGTACTATGCCACTGAGCTATATCCCCAGCCCTAATTGGTTCAGTTTTTGAAGAAGTTAAGTAGTTTATGAACCAGTTGCTGGTTTAGACAATCTTTCATGACCAAGATATTTACCCTGTTTTTTACCATTATGAACCTATGGAAACAACCTAATATCTAACTATTAAAAAGTTATTGACAGAATATGTTAAATAGGCAGCAAATTAAAATCATGTTCAAAAACAACATTAAACAAAATGGGAAGTACTTAAAATATTGATACAGATTTTGTACAGAGTAAAGGCAGTAAACATGCCTAAAATGAAAGAAATGAATGTAAATTTTAAAGATAAAATTTCTCTAATAAGCCTATTACTACTTCTACCATTTGAAAAAATGTTTGAAGATGAAGTTCAGTAACTGTAGCCACATAATCAGAAAATAGCTTGTCAAAAGGTCTAAAAGTGAATTCAAACAGTTCAAAATGTTTTTGAAAGAAAACTCCTGAGTTTAAAATTTAGCCTGTTGGGCTGGGGATTTAGCTCAGTGGCACAAGCACCTACCTGGCAGGCACCAGGTCATGAGTTTGATTGATCCCTGGTACAAAAAAAAAAAAAAAAACAGCCTGTTATGAAGTAATTTTGGTTAAAGATGCTTATTACATCCAAAAATGAATTTTTTAATTAAATAAAATGAATTTTAAATCGTTCTTATTTATTATTAAAATGCTAAATAAATGTTTATTTAGATATTTTATCAAAATTTAGTGACTAAAATATGGAACTAAAAGAAGTATCAGAGGCCCATGAATATTGAGGTAGGTTTGTTCTCTTCAAATTGCACATTGCCGAAGGTTGTCCAGAGTAGTTTATTTGGTATACGTCCAGCTTCCTATTAATTTCTACATTTGGAAAATAATTACATAATAATGGTCTCAAAATTATACCAAGTCTACTCATCATGCTTTTTTTTTAACTTGGGAGTAGGGATTGAACCCAGGACCTTCACACTGAACTTCATCCTCAGGCTTTCTTATTTTTTATTTTGAGACAAGGTCTTGCTAAGTTGCCAAGGCTGGGCTCACACTTGTGAACCCCCTGCCTCGGACTCCCGCAGTACTGAGATTACAGGTATGAAGTACTCTGCCCCAGCTTTTGCTCTGAAATTATTTAGTATATTTTGGTGAAATTGTATTGACCATCACATTGACAGCTACTCGCCTGGTGCAGTTTCACGTTGCCAGCCAGTTTGCTTTGGGTTGCACTGCGTTAAGCAGCCAGCCTAGTTTGACCAGTGGAGAAAATCATCACATATTTATCTCCCATCATCTGAAGGAAGTGAGTTAAAACATTTTCATTTTTCAAAAGTGATCTCATTGCTTAATTTCTTCTTACAACTTATCTATTGGTTTTTCAGCTGCTTCCCTGCTTTGCATTCAGGCAGATGAGTTACAAGACGCTCTTACCTCCCACTGTGTGGTGACTAGAGGAGAAACTATTATACGACCCAACACTGTAGAAAAGGCTAATGATGTCAGAGATGCTGTGGCTAAAACTTTATATGGACGTCTCTTTAGTTGGATAGTCAGCTGCATTAACAGTTTATTGAAGCATGACACATTGCCAAGGTAAAACATTTCATACAGACTTTTCTCCTAAATGTCAGGTGATAGATGTATTTTGCAATTTTTTGTGTGAGTCCCTTTGAAGATTTTTAATAGGATAATTTATTTATCAACATTATATTTCAATAGATATACATCATTTCTTACCACCTTGTTATGCCATATTATTGGAAAATTTTTGATTGCTGTAACATAAAAATTCTACCAGCATTAATAATCACAATGGAAAGTGATTTTTTAATGTGGCATTTTACAATCAGTTAACATATTATTTTAATTTGAAAATATACCATGAAGTATACACCAGGTATAATTGTGTATGCACATTTATACTTGTGTACACACATGGTTATACCATGAAGATATACCATAAAGTATACACATTTACACTTGTGTAAAATGTCAATTCATCAATTTTAAATGTTTTTCAAAGTTTTAAATCAAATCTTGAAGATAAGGAAAAACTTCCTTTCACATTTAAACTCTCACTATAACCTCCTTAAGGGTAGGTATTATGACTTCCAATGAATTTTGAAATAGAACTGGTGTATCTAAGTGAAAGATAAGGCCATGGTGTAGGTACAAATGACGTATGACCCTAACACGATAGCCTTTATACTAGTAATTGCTGACCCCATTGTCTGGATTGTACCTAGGTGTAAGTCCTTACATTTACATTAACAGCCTTGTTCTGCCATAAATTGTATGAATTTAAGAAATATTGCCTGTGGAAAGATGAATGCTTACTCTACCTCATTCATACCTGCTAAGTATAAAAAGTCATTTTATGCACATTTCAAGTGAGCAGTTCATTATTTTTCCACTAAAATACATCTCACACCATATCATTATTCCATCAAACTGTCTGTGAGTTAATCCATTATTCCTTTCATCCACTTAGCAATGTGCCCCTTAAGGTTACTTCCTTACCTACACCTACTGAATCTACAAATCATAGCCCAGTTTGCTCATTAAGACCAAAATGGTTTATATGTTCATTTGTGGCCTTCTCTCTAATGTCAAACATTCATATAAAAACAGAAAAGCTCAAAATTTTTCAACAAACTTATGTTTCACATACTGTAATCAAGGTAAAGACTTGATCTTATTTATTAATTATCATATGCCTGATATCCCACAATAACCTATCTGTTGAATGTAACTTCCCTTTCTGTACAAAATGAAAACTACCCAAGACTTAGGTTTTAAAAGAATGTTTTAAACAGCAAGCTTTAAAAACACAAAAGCAGAACCAATTGACACAGTTTAGTTTGATTCTGTCTGGATTTACAGTGAGATGTTGGAAAGCCTGTGATCCATGCCAGGCTTTGCTACTAACTTGTCACGTGAGGTTGGGCAAATGACTGCATTTTTTCTGGGTTTCTCACTCATCCGCTGTTAAATAATGCCACTGAATGCCAAATCAGTGGCTTTAATTGTTGATGGTATTTTAAAGCCTTCTAAGGACCTGTTAAAAACTGTCTATATCCTTCACTTCAGAATAAAAACATGGGTACAACACATTTTTAAACAATAAGTTAAGTACTTTATGGAACCCTGTGGGCAAAGGTGCCGTAAAAGGATAATAAGTTTCACTAAACCAACATGAATCTTAACTAGACATCTTGACTCAACTACTGTTTAAAGTGAGAGCTTTCAGAAATCTTTACCTGGTTTGCCCTTTGTCCATTCTACCACATCTTTAAAGTAGTCTGTGTCAATCACTTCCTCCAAATATGGGGAGTGTACTTGAGTTACTAACAATCATTTCTTCATCATGCAGTAGAATTACCTGCACCAGCCAAACAGTGAGCACAAAAAGACCCTTGTCCTTCTTTGCTTTACAAGTGTACATAAAAGTAATTTTCAAGGCATGTATTTTTTTTAGGAGAGAAACACACTTCTTGACCAAGCACTAGCCTTTTGTTAACAAAAGTGACCATACTAAAAAACAGAAAAATGCACTTGAATTATTTAATTGTGAAATACCATTGTATTTGATTGTACTTGAAAGTATTTAATTATAAAATAAATCCCCATGTGTCTTTCTCCAGGTCACCATTTATTTTGTATTTAATATATATATATGCATATATATATGCATATATATGCAAATAATCCAAAAATAAATGATAATTCTTCAAATAAGATATTTTCAGTAAGATTTTAAATTGTTCTAAAATGAAAGACTAAATATACTCCTTAATAGAATTTATGCTTTTCTGGTACAGTTTTAATTGAATATGCTTGCTGTCTTCTTGCTGACAGCCAGATTGGGTTTTGTTTTGTTTTGTTTGTTTTGTTTTTATTTTGTGTCTTGTTTTGTTTTTATTTTTTGTAAGAAACCCTGTAATCCAGGCAAGCCTCAAACTTGCAGTGATCCTCCTGCCTCAGCCTCCCAAGTTGGGGGATTACAGCTGTGCACCATTATGCCCAGCCAGCTTGTTGTTAGTATTATTCCTGTCTCAGTGCTGTGACTTTGTACTTATAACCCACAAAGAATTTTTTTAATTTTTTGTAGTGCATGAGAAAGAGATTAAGAATGGTTTCTATAGTACAAGGAAAATATGTGTGTTAACAGTTAATGCTACCTCCATTATCTTTACATTCTGTGGAGAGGAACTTTTTCAGTTGAGAAAATGTCAGCTGGGATAGAAGTAATCCTAGTTACTTGGAATGTTGAGGCAGTACGATTATGAATCAAAAGGATTTGTGAGCAACTTTGTGAGTCTTTGTCTCAAATAAACTAAAGAAATAACAAAGGATAGAGATGCATCTCAGTGGTAGAATGCTGGCCTAGGGTGCCTGAAGTCCTACATTCAATTCCTAGTATTAAAAAAAAAGAGATAAAACAATTTTGCTCTAAGTGTGTGTTCTGGTAGTAGTTTCTTAGGTCAGCCACATATAGGAACTTTGAGATACTTTATTAGCTCCTAAGCAAATAAATAATAACTAAAAAGAATACCACTTTTATTCTTCCAGTGGGAGTGGTGATGAGCTGAGCATTGGCATTCTTGATATATTTGGCTTTGAAAATTTCAAAAAAAATTCCTTTGAGCAACTGTGCATTAACATTGCAAATGAACAAATTCAGTATTATTTTAATCAACATGTGTTCGCATGGGAACAGGTAAGTCAAGGTACTTACTCTAAAGATGCATGTGTGCATAATTGTACAAATGAAGCAGAACAAAACCCATAGGTTTAAAGTTTTCAGCATTTAAAAAGGTAACGAAAAAACTGTCTTTTCTCCATATCAGTAGTAAAAACAAACAAAAAATACAGTATGAATTTCATGAAACTTAATATGTAATGTTAAAATTCCTTCACTGAAAATGAATTCACTGTTCACCAAAACTTAGCATGCGTAAGTTCTTTCAAACAAAGAAATCTATGAAAGTTTAAGTAAACAGATGTGTCTAACAGATTCTCTTTCTATAAAGTGCATAGCTGGAATTCTGTTTGGAATTTCAATACACATCTAAAATGCATTAAACCTCAGAATTCCGGTAGCTAAGCAACAGACCGTAAGATAATGGGTTTGATGCAAATGCCATAAAATGGTAATTTTGTCACAGTACAATGTGTAATTTATGATTCATCTTCAAAAATATTCTGCAGAGAAAAAGCAGAGACTTACTTGAATTGCATTTGACAAACTGTCATAGAATAAATTAATGTAGTAAAAGGAGCACAATTAATAGCATTCAGTACATCATTTGTTTCCTTCAGATAACATTATTTTGCTTTGTGTTTCTGGATTATGTTTTAATTTTAATTTAGCTAAATTAGAGATGTCTAAGCCTCTTTTTATTTAAAATATTTAGGTGTACTGAGAGTTTGTTTTGAAAATGGTGGTCATAAAAGAAGACATCTTAAGCCAAAAAAAAAGCATATAAATTTGAGACATGATATCTGACTCCCCTGCACCAGGATCTAGTTCTGTCACATTTTCATTACCTTTCTTCCGTCCCCTTCTGTCTCCTCCTCCACCTCTCTGTTGGCATCTTTCCATAGCCTAGGTATGTGATGAAATCTCTTTAGAATCTTAAAAACAGGAAAATACAAAAATGTAAGACACTTCCCCACCCCTCTGTAGCTCTGCCCCTTCAAGCTCCTTGACAGCATATTGGAGGCTCCCTGCAAAACACTGACTTCCTCGCCAGCTGAGTGTTGAATGCAGATCCTCTGGCTCTGACAGCCCCCACCCTGAAAGGCCCCAGTCTCATTAGTCTCAGTACATTTTTACCTTTCTCATTAGCCCGTAAATTCCTTTATTTCCAATATCATGTTTTAATTCTTTTTATATTTTCAGAGGCTGACATGAACTGATTTAACAACCTCTTTCTTAATTAAATAACGAATGCATTCAAACCAGAGACTGAAACAAGTATACCTGCTCTGTTTTGGGCTTTTGGTATAGATATGTTGGCCTATTTTGTAGCCCCAGGTATATCTTACCTACCACCTGACAAATAATGACTTGCAGGGTAGAACTGTGTTTTCTGGGTAAGATTAGAACTAAGTTTTATTGAAACTAAGCTTAAACTGGTGTATGATATGTCAATGATTATTATTACTTGCTTTTGATAGAATGTTATAGTTTTTAAAATCACTTTAGTGGACTTTAATTTCATCCTGATGTTCTTCTTTTGTCTTTGGTTTTGCTATACAAACTATTATTAAGGTCCTTCAGAATATTCTTGAGAAGTTTTCTAAACAAAACAATTCAAAGTTTCCCCCAGTGTAATTAAAACTTTATCTAGAACTCAGGGTTATGCCAAGCATTCTGATGAACTCAGGTCATTCTAAATCCTTTCTGATATCTTTCTAGACATTGTACCAAAGGTTAGTGGCCAAAGTATGATCAGGATAATGAACATGTGATCTGGTGGATAGGATTAGTCAGTGATTCCTTCAGTTTTAACCTATGGTTTCACCTTTGTTTTCTTTCATTTTGTTACTTTCTGTGAAGGCAGGAAATGTAACTTAAGAATTGCTTACTCTAAGTTAATGCATAAGTTATCACAGTTAAAAGTATGGGTCATGGTCACACTTCTTTTGGCCAAATATAATCCCAGACCTGACCTAACTGAGAGCTCCCGAGTTTAATAGAGCCATTATGGCAGTCAGTAGGACATGGCATTCAACTTCATGGGACGTACAAATGGCCCAGCTGTATCTCACTGAGACACATGCTTTGTGATGTACCTTCACAGACCAAGCACTTGGGTCCAACTTAAACCAACAAGCATTGTATTAACTGACAGTTCTATGACACTGTACAATAAATAGTAATCTTCTGTGAAACTATTCCCTTATTTAGCCCAATTTTCGTTTAGTTGTAAAGTGGGACACTCCAGCAAAGTTGTTTACAAAAATGTACTTGAAATATAATTTTCCCATTGACTTCTCCTATGAAAAATAATCAACATACTATAATAAACCATTTTTACTGACCTAATTTCTAGCTTTTCAAGTGGGTGATTTTATATTTCTTGAAATGGTTGCCTTCAACTCACCATTGGTATTGTTTTTCAAAATATTTTCCAAAATCCAGAAATCCACACTAGCCATTCACTGGCTTATGGGAGACACTGACTTGTTCTCTTTCTGGCTTACTGGCTGCTCGCTCGCACCACCCCCACTTACCAGAAAGGAGGGCGTGTTGCTTTCTTGCTCAGCCTCCCCAAGTTCCAACATGGCTGGATCTCTCGGGAGATGCTGACTTGTACTCAACCAAGGTTTAGGTGTGCTTGGTGTGCTCTTGTTCGTTTTTTGGTTGTCTTCCATATGGAAGAGGACTCAACAGTAAGCAAAGGGCAGTAGGGAGTTCTTTGGAGTTATATAGATCATATTAGAATCCTGTGTTAGAAATGTACATCTCTTTTTTTTTTTTTTTTTTTTTTTTTTGTCTATTTCATTTTTATCGGTACCGGGGATTGAACTCACGACCGCCTGTTTGCAAAGCAGGTACTTATGCTGCTGAGCTATATCCCCAGCCCCAGAAATGTACATCTCTTGTCAAAGGTATTCACATACTGGGGCTGAACTGGTGAGTTTTGTCCTTTAATTTGCTGCCATTTTATGATCATTGTGGCCTAGAAAACACGAAAGGGTAAACTTTGCTCCCTAATAGTTTGTGTTTCAAGTCAAGGGGAGCACACACAAGCCACAGATTGGCCATCCCTAAGTATGAATTTGGAGTAAAATGAATGACACTATTCTTTGAGGGCACTGGTCAAGTATTGGGCAACCGGAACATGTACATAATGTTACAAAGGATTGTGCTGGAGTTCTACTTCCCTTCCTATCTGTTTACACTTTGCATAAGTTTTCTTCATACATTAAAGTAATACATGTGAAGAGGTATTAAGTGTGCTGGTTTGTGTCTAATAGAAATGATTAATATTTGTTTCTGTACAAAGATACACTCTTACATATACCAGTCTATGTACACCTGTGGGTTTAGAGCTGAAGGGATTTTGTAAGCAGGAGGCTACTTACAGAGCATAATGGAAACAATAACTGCAATTATGGCTCTGACTGCTCTTGCAGAAAGTGATGTGTATGACTTTCATCTCCAGCTGTTCACATCCTAAAATTTAAAGCTTCTGAGAGTTTGAATGTGGACTTCAACACATAATTTGTGTCAATTACAAAGAAAAAAATTGATTCAATACACAATACCTACATTTTCAACTTTTTCACCATTATAAAGTAACAAGAATCAGTCATCTGATAAAAACTGTGGGCAATTGAAAAAAACCTCTTATAAATATCTTCATCTTGTTGTGCCTTAACAATGCGGCCTTCTAAATGTTATATCCTAATTTCTTTCCTATTAAGCAATATGTGTGCTGTGGTGATAAAGTTTGTCTTATTTTGGCTCTCCAAAAAAAGCCATGCTGAAGGCACTTTCTTTCAACATTAAGACAGCCAAATACATTTAGAAACCCTTGCTATAACAGATCTTCACTTTTAAAAGTACAGCCAAGTTTTTGGTTATGGTTTGGCATCACCTCTAAATATTCCTTACACTTCTCGTTCACTGTGTATGAAGGCTGATTTCCAGATAACTAAATTCACCAAGAGGCCTTGCAGCAGCCCCTAGCAGGAATATGTCTTCATCGTCCAGTAGCACACCTCTCCTTTCTATAGCCTTCACACCTGCTTAACATCCGAGCTGCTCACATAAGCTATTTATCTTCATTGATGAACATAGGGCTGGGTTGTGGCTCTGTGGTAGAGCTCTTACCTTGCATGCACAAGGCTCTAGATTCAATCCCAGCACCAGAAAAACAAAACAACCAAACATGAAGCTAGATCAGCATCTTCAATGTGATGTAGAGAGTTGTGGCAGTTACTTTTATCATATTTTACATTTTTTAAACTTTTGATAAAAATAAATTTCAATGAAATAAAGAAATGTAAGTCCATATATTTACTATACTTTTGTACGTGTGAAGTTAAAGCATACGTTCACAGCATGAAACAAATTTTGGCAAAGATTTACACAATAGTAAGGAAGAAATAATTGTAGATACAGGAGATCCTGGAATACAGAAAATTGCGTTTCTGAATTCCTAACCCAAATGTCCCCTTATCCTAAACTGACACCTGTCAACAGAACATAGACATAAAATCCTTTATAAATTTTAAAAAGTTTCAAGAATAAATATTGTAAGGGTCAGGAAGCTCAATGCATAGTGCCTGTCTGGTGAACACAAGGTCCTGAGTTCAATTCCTGGTACCAAAAAAAAAAAAATATATATATATATATATCATATACCAAAGTGAATAGAGTGAAATTTTCCTTTTACAATGTGTTATATACATCTTTTTCTGAATAAAAAAGTTGCTGTAGTGAGCAGCATTCCGAAACTCAGTGCTCCAAAATTCAACAAAATCTATGTAAAATAAAACATAGCTATTTATTAGGAATTACCCAAAATACTTTATCATTACATTATTTAAATTTTTTTAAATTTTTTAAATTTTTTTTTAAATTTTTTTTTAATTTTTATTTAAGGAGAAAAGAAAAGAAAGGGAAAAAAAACAGTGAAGGGGTACAAGTTATACAGATTTACAGAATAAAAAAATGCGCAGTAGGAAATCACTAGTTAATGG